TAAAGTTTAGAAAATATTGGGAAGAACTACCTATGTTATTTCCTTTAGCATGCGCAATGGACCCCTACTATAATATTTCGGGAACTAAATACGTAATTGATCAAATCAATAAAGTTTTAATACTTGATACACCTATCACCTATAAGAATTTAGAGCAAACATTATGTGGAATGTATGATTTATATGCAAAAAGAATGGGTATGAATGTTAGTCGGTTACCTTGTGCACCTACTCCTTTTGCTGAAATTGAAGAAGATGATATCGAAATAATGAATTTATTTTGAGGCATTAATACATTTAGATATGATGCAACTGCAATGTGTTCATCTAGTGCCATGTCGTCTACATTTGCATCTCATCAAACATTGGCCAAAACTCAAAATGCGATGCATGCCGAATTAATTGATTATTTCAATCATAATATGCCAACAGACAGAACAATTAAAAAAGTTCAGAAGAAATAATTGTCGTCTACATTTGCATCTCATCAAACATTGGCCAAAACTCAAAATGCGATGCATGTCGAATTAATTGATTATTTCAATCATAATATGCCAACAGACAGAACAATTAAAAAAAGTTCAGAAGAAATAATTGAATTCTAGCGAAAGTATGAAAGACGTTGGCTAATTGTTTCTACAATTGCGAAAGATCTGTTGACACCTTCAATTAGCACTGTTGCTTCGGAGTCTGCCTTTAGTGCAGGTAAAAGGGTTTTAACGGATGTCAGGAGTCGACTGAAAGAAGATGTTTTGGAAGTGTTAATGTGCGTGAAGGATTGACAGGACGCTCATTTTCAACTACAAGATAAATACGCTAAAATTGCATGTCGTCAGGTAAGTGATATTTGATTTAATTATATTAATCAAAATTTCTTTATTTTTTAATCGTTAAATTTAATTTTCTTTAAAAAATTGTACACATTATACTTTATAAAGAGTATTACAATATGATATAAATAAAAATAAATAAAAATTGTTTTCTTTAAATTATTTGTATTTTTTAACACGTTTTATTTTTTTTTAAATGTTTTCTATTATTTCATTTATTTGTAAAAAAAAAATTGGACGAGCCCACGAGCTCGAACGAGCCAAGAGCTCATGGGCCGAGCCGAGCTGGTCCAAATTCAACGAGCCACGAGCGCGAGCCGAGCTCGTGAAATTAAGGGCCGAGCCGAGCCACCACTAGCCGTAAGAGCTCGGCCCCAGCATAGGTTCGGCCACCAGATAGGTTTGTTCCACGGGGGTTCGACCGACAGATTTTTTGCCACCTGGTTTGCGTGTGTGGGGCCAACTGCCGATGATGTGGCCTATGTTGTGAAAGGCATAACAGAAACTGTTGCTAATTTCCTATAATTTACCTTTAGTTTAAAAGGACAAACTCCAAAATCTAAAGATTCCACCTAAATAAATTTCAAAAGGAGAACGTTTTTAATAGAAAAACTAAAATATATTATTTCATCAAAATTAAAAAAATCACCTCAAACCGCCATTAATTTTTTATTCCACTTGAAACGAGTGTTATTTCATACTTAATTATTAGTAGGGATATATATATTTTTAATGTTAACAAATATAATATTTTTTTAAAATTTTTGATATGGACGTATTTAGATTGAGATAAATATATAAAAGTGGTATTTGATATAAAGTGTTTAAATGAATAAATTTAATAAGGATAATGTTACTAGGATGAATATATATAATATTTTTTTTTTAAAATAAAATTTTAATAGGGGATAGATTTAGAGGGTGATAGATATGTAAGAATGGTGGATGAAAATATGACTCTTTATAAAAATGGTGTGGGTTTATAGTGTTTAAATAAGTGAATTTAATAAAGAAAATATTAAAATATCATGTTGATGAAAATAGTATTCTTATAAAAATTAACAGGGAAAGATATTTAATAATGATGGATTTAAATAGCGGCATTTGTAGTTTGCAAAAGAAAACTAAAATGGATTATTGAGTACAAAAGAAAAAGTCCAAATCTTTTAACATTAATTGATCCTTTTGGTATCGTAGCTTCATTAGTTAGATGGCTACAGTTCCAAGGTTACGATGGCTAACCTAATCAATCAATGTTAATGTTATATAAGTAAAGAATCGATAGTCTGCTTTCTCTGTATTTGCACTCACTTCTTTTTTGCATCTTGCATGTATGACGTCTTCGTCCTTTTTGGGCTCCTTCCCTTTGATACGTTCAAAAACACTGGGATGTGGTCCGGGGTCTTCTTCTCCATCATCTATAACCAACTTGAATTTTGGCAATTTATTTTTGAAACCAGATATCACCATGTTCACTCCAAGTGGTTGTGGAAAAGGATTTTCATCCACTGTCATCTTCCTCTTATCCTCGAACGTAATTCGTCCTAATTCAATGACATTCTGTTACACATGACGAAAAACCAAGCAGTTGTTAGTCAAATATGACCATACATTATGTCACTTATAATATTTTTTACCCTTAACTTGTTCAGGGTTTGGCAATTTATGTTTATCACTCAGCTTTATCTGCTTATCTTTATATAATTTATCAAATATAAGGTCAACTTTGGTTACATCGAACGAGAACGTTCTAGTCTTTATGTTTTCACCTTTTATAGCCTCATCCCTGCCTGACGGTCTAGGCTTAGCCATTATAGGACAAGTATATGTGTCTCCTTTAACTAATTCGACCAAACACATTTCGGTTTGATCGTAATATTCGTCGTTAATCGTATGAACATCAAAATTTGGGTCTCTATAATAAGTCCCCTTGCTAGAATTTTTCATTTGTTCTTCTTCTTTTATTAATCATTCATACCTAATCACGTTCGAGCTCAATTGAAAAAGATCAGGAAATTCCTTGTCTTGGAATTTCTTTTTCAAATCAAAGCTTAAGCAACCTTGAGCGATTTTGACAAACTCCTTTTCGGACAAAGGTACAAAACATTTACTTCTTGCCGTCTTGAACCTTTGAAGGAAACCTTCTGCCCATTCGTTTGACAGCTGACGTAGATTCGTCAAATCGACCAAAGTAACTTCAGACTCAGTCTTATAAAACTGAGCATGGAACAATTG